TTATTTATTCAAAAAACAACATTATTTCTACCACCAATACTCCCAATATCACCAACCCCTATTCCTCTTCCATCTGCTATGAGATCTTTCAGCCACAGTCTTTGATCGGGGCTTTTTTCAACTTATCTTCAGGGCCACAACAAACCGCTCGAACAACATCAAAAGAACTTCAACGGTGGAAAACAGATTCAAGCGTTTTGTCGACTTTCTGAATCTCACAGCTCTAAAGCTAATGAGTTACCCACGCTCACCGCTCCGATCCACCAACTTGTAGGGGACAAGGAGAAATTCTGTCGTTTTTCTTTTGCTCGTATAGATCACTCTGGACTGATCCTCACGTTCCCCGGGTAGGGAGGCAAAACTCTGGACACTTTTGCTTGTCGACTTATAGCCCCTAGGATCTGATCCCACGCTACACAGGGAGAAGGACAAGCCACACCATCAGGTCGGATCCAAGCTTGACCACTGGTCTGATCCCACAATCCCCAAAGTGGGGCGACGAAGCTCTACCAGTTTTTATACACAATTAACCACTCGGATCAGAGCTCTCGTTCCCCAGGAGTGACGAAGCTAGCCCAGAACAGCAAAATGTTTTCCTCCCACGCTGGCACAGCTCCAGTCTCACTCTCTGCCAGCACGAGGAGCATTCCCCAAAGGACCTTTCACCAAGATGAACAGGATCCCAGCCAGGAAGTCCTGAACCTAATGGTAAGAGAAACCAAAGCAAAGTCCAACGTGAGAAAGGAAATAATCAAGGACAAAGGAGTTGAACAGGAAGTTGAAGTCTGGGAATACCCCAAAGAAAACCTCTCAGTCCTCGACGAATTGTACGAAACCCATGTTGTAGTTTGCTCTTTCCCGGCGAAGACCAAACATCTCACTCCAATAGAAAAGAGAAGAAGAGTGCGGGAATGCCTCAAGAACATAGAAAATCTGCGAGAAACCGAACCCAAAGTCGCCTACCAGCAGAGAGGTCGCAACGCAGTCACAGTGCTATGTGCGGATCCCAGTTATGCAAATTACCTCCTGACAATACAAGCCCTGTACTGTGAAGGCTCGGTGATTACCATCTCCAAATGGAAGCCAAGCAGGTCAGCCCCACAAGGCACCTCACGTCACAAATAGTCGCTGATGAACAAACACTTTTGGATACAATTCAACAATCTGTCGGATGGCATGCACAGCCTGGTTGAAGAAAGACTCAGCGAGTCTCTCCCCCAGTCCCCCCCTTGTGGAATGGGTGTCCTCTACCCCAGGCTTTCTTACCCCCAGTGCCAACTCAAGGATCACTTGCGTTGAGCTCAAGTCCAACAACCCACAGGAGCTGCTAGACAAATGGTTCTTCAGAGTTGGTCAGAACGTCCAAACAGTATATGTCTCAACCAAGGCTAACCCCATTTGCTTCAGATATAGAATCAAGGGGCACATGGGTAACGATCCTCTCTGCCCCCTCAACACACGCAAGGGAGAAGGCAGACGGCTCAATCAATCAATGCTGATCGAAGCGGAGACAATGAAAGGCATCTGGATCATCAACGACCCAGCCTACATAGGATGGGTCTTTAATGGCCTGAGAGCACATTCCGGCCTGGGTCTGGACACGCGACAACCCTGAGCCCGCAAGCAAACCAGACATTTCCCCCCCCCCCACGAAAGTAGATGGCAAACAAGCGGGGGAAAACGCAATGACAAGGCAACTCAGAAATACGACAGGCAAGCATTGGGATCCTCCCTCCAACTTGAACAAAGCATGCACAAAAAACAGATTATGGATGAAATACACTGCATGGGAAGGGAAGCAGAGAAAGCTTTCTTGGAAAATTTGCAAACAAGAAAAGGCTTGCATTTGAAAGAACCTTCCAAAACAACAACCAGGGATTCAGGGACCATGAAGAAAAAGACAAGAAACGAGGGGGAAGAAGAAGAAGAAACAACAGGAGAGGAGGTCTCCACAGGCCCTAAGAAAAGCAAAGAGAACAATCTAACAGAGAGCAAGTCAGAGGAAGAAGAAATGCACATCGGGATCAGAAATGACGGGAGGGGTTCAAGACCCAGTGTCCCAAGAAGACTCCATCAGCTCGATTGAATGGCTAACCGAGTACATAGAATCCCTCCAAACAAAGAGAGAGATAGACCTGGAAATCAGACTCGCCCATGCCAGGCACATCAGCGATCTCAAAAAGTCAGAATCAACAGGCAACACAGGAGGTTTCCCGACCTCCCCAAACCCATACGAGATGCTGCAACCTAAGATAAACTTCTCAGAATTCGTGGCCCAACAATACGTGGGCAATCAGGGGGATGGTATGGAAACAGAACTGCAAGACACAGCAACACAAGCAAACCCATGGGCGAACTCCTACCTTAGAGAAGATAAGGGCAGACCAGACTCCAAGGAAGGAGTAAAGGACAAACAGGAAGGACAAGAAGAGGAAGAGGATGAAATGATCTCCCTAGCATTGGACTTGGCCAAGCGATCGAAAAATCAGAAGATGGAACTCAGAAGAAAAATCGCCATTTTAGAAAGGCAAACGAGATTCCTGGAGGATCAAAACAACGACTTGAGTGAAGGGACCTTCTCCCTCAACAAAATTGCAGACGTTAACCCCCAGGAACTGGCTCTCGCAGCAAACATCGACGCTCGTTCCCTCTCTCCTGTAATCCCCATCCTACCAGTCTGCTTTGATCCTAAAAAGGATCAATGGCAGATAGCAGTTCACTCCTCATTGAAAATCGCGACCACCCACGATAAAGTTAGGTGGGCCCACTCTGTAAAGACCAAGGTCTCTGAGCAGCGTCCACAGACTATCTACAGGCCAGGTCTCGATGAGAACCTGAAAATCAGCTGGGAAGGGGACACAGGAGTAAGGAAGGAGAATGACATTAGACACATTTTGGCCATCTACGACCACCTGGATCAGCTGAATGAGGACCTAGAGTGGAAGGCGTGGGAATTGATCAGTGAGATCCCCTACGCCCTCCTAGGGAAGAAGGACGAAGTGGACAAAATGTCAGAATAGCATTCAGTGTGGGTGTCTTTGTGAGAGAGGAATGGTTGGGAAATAACAACGAGGAGGCGATGGAGAAGATCTCTCAATCATTGTTTCTTAGATTGTGAACACGCAAAACAGTTGTGGCTAGACATAGAACTCTCATGGAATTCTCTATCCAATAGAAACGTACTCATCAACCCCTCTACCATACTCCTTCACTCAGATCAATCCCCAACTCTAAAAGGCTTCGACTAGTTCCTCTTCTCGCTAATCAGAAAAGGCACCCTATGGGCCATATGGAAAAGACGTTGCCATCTAACCTTTAACGAACACCACGACCCCCCAGAGACTCCCCTAATTACCATCAAACAGATTTGAAACAGAAGTCCTAGCTCTATGGAAAAAGACCCTAAAGCAAATCCAGATCCTTCCGGACAAAAAAGAAGAAAGTATCAAAAAATTCTCAATCGGCAAGCTAGGCAGCGACAAATTAGGCTCAATCGAACGGGGCAAAATAAAATTCTCTAATTGGTTAATCTGGCCCTCAGCAACCAGCCAAGGACGAAACCCTAACAACGCGCAGCCTACACCCCATTACACCCCCCAAGCCAACCCACCCACACACATACTACCGGGAGTCACAACAGGACAGGACACCACCTGAGAACCCCCACATTGTGCACCTACACACCTCAGAAATTCCCAACTCCAACAAAATCCGTTCCCCCCAACTGTAACACAGTCCCTCCCTTACCACATTTATCCTCGCTCCCCCGTCCCAAGCCCATAACCCCAAGCCCATCGACCCAGAATCTTAAGACTTTCGCCACCGCACAAACCCCCTCAGTCACCACCCCCCCACCCAAACTACCCCACAAAGAAACTATAGGCATATTCAACAGCTTCAACACAGAAAATTCTAACAGAGACAGACCATAAAAACACTACAGTCAACAAGGGTTCAGGGTTTTAGCTTGAGGGTTAAGGTTTTAAGGTTTAGACAGAAACAAGGCATACAGGGCTTAGGATGTTAGAGATTTCAAGAGGCTCGTAGGCGTTCCAGATCGCTCTAGCATAACACACCAACCCGACAGCATCACAGCTGAGAGGAGCGGGACTGGATCCAGACAGATTGGCAGCAGCCAGGCAGATCAAATAGCACAGGCTAACTTAGGCAGGGGTGAGGGGTGGTACATCCTTCCTCAGGGAAGTAATCAATGCCGTCCACTCGGACCTACCAGCCATAATGGGAAGGAGCGTGCGTGAGTCTCCCATGTTTTCCATATTGATTGCCGGGGGAATAGGAACCAGACTGTCGCTCCCCAGAGTGGTAGTAGCCAGAACCTTTGTTTTCTTTGAAAAAAAAAAAAAAAAAAGCATGCTTCATCGTCTGCAATAGAGGTAAAGCTGCTGTGATTTTAGATCTTACACACACACACAC